AGCGAAGCCACAGCAGCGGTGGGTTCCCGCGCTTCTGAGGCTTTGCCAGAGATGGTCTCCAGCAGACCAGGGGCACCAGGAGCAGCTTTTCTTGCCCTGGAGGTCGAGGTGGCGGATCGCTGCCTGTGAGCTCCGGGGTGAGAAAGCCCCATTTGTAAGTGCGGATCCGACATAAGTCGGATCCGCGTAAGTCGGGGACTGCCTGTACTTCTGTTTCCTCCATCTGCCCCTGTAGCCAGATGGAACGCCTGAGCATGGATGCCTCTACCCAGATCCTGATGTGGTTTTGCAGGGACTGTGGCTTGCAATTCCCACTTACTGATATCCAGGCTGGGGGGACTATCCAGTGTGAAAGGTGATTGTAGGAGAGCTACAGGAGGAGGTGGCTTGGTTGAGAAGCATCGGAATCCACGAGCAATTCCTGGACAGTGTTTATGTGGAGACAGCTGAGGTAGCTGTCCCAGTACACAGGAGTGATGACACACCACTGGTGGAGGAGGAGATGGCTCAAGGTAGACACTAGCAGCTGGTTACTTCTGGCAGCAGGCAGTGCTCCACCCCTGCTCCGAACACTCCCACCATGGTACTGGGAAACCGTTATGCTCTTCTTGATACAGGAGATAAGGAATCAATCCCTACAACAGAGGAGGAGAAGCCTCGTACCCCCAATGCTGAGAGGTCTGCTGCCACCACTGTGAATAGGAAATGTAGGCTAGTGGTGGTTGGAGTTTCTCTTCTGAGGGGGACAGAGGCACCTATCTGTTGCCCTGATATGTCATCTTGGGAGGAATGCTGCCTGCCGAAGGCCCATATCTGAGACGTTACGGAGGCATTGTCAAGGATTATCCAACCCTCTGATTACTACTCCATGCTACTCATCCATGTGGGCACTAATGATACTGCGACATGTGACACTGAGTGGATCAAGAGTGACTACAGGGCTCTGGGAGTACGAGTGAAGGAGTTTGGAGAGCAGGTGGTATTCTCTTCAGTCCTTCCTGTCAAAGATAGGTGCCCAGGCAGAGACAAGTGCATCCTGGAGGTGATTGATTAAACACTGGAATAAGTTGCCTAGAGGGGCTGTGGAATCTCCATCTTTGGAGATATTTAGGAGTAGGTTGGATAGACATCTATCAGGGATGGCTATGGTACGGGGTCCTGCCATGAGGGCAGGGGACTGGACTCGAAGACCTCTCGAGGTCCTTTCCAGTTTTCATTTCTATGTTATGTATTCTATATTCCTTTCATTTCTATATTATGTTGTTGTTGTTTGTCTAAGTTTGAAGATGATCATGACATCACTGATTGATTTCGTTTCTGTGAACATGTGAGTGGTTGATCAGGCCAATTTGTGCTTTGAACTGTCTGTTGCACACTGAATAAGAGATGCTGCTATGGGTTACTTGATTAACAGTAGACCTATATTGCAAGAGTTATGTGCTGGCACTCCGCTCTGCCTCAGCAGTTCTCCTCTGCTTTGAGACTATAGCTCCAGTGTGGATGATGTTTCACCAGGTATGATGATTAGGCTAAGATTTCATCTAGCACCTTTTCCTTTGTAGTGACTAAAGGACAATGATTATTTTCTCACTGATACGTTGAGAGCTCATGCCTTAATGCATTAAAAAGCACTTTCTCCTTATTTTAAGACAGATACTTCATGACTGGCCAGGACACTGACATCTCCTCACCATATTCTACGGTTGCAGACCCAGACTGCCAGGTAGCAGCATAATTGTGTGCAAAGGACACTAATGCATTAAACAACAAAACAAAATCAATGTGGATATATATTAGAAGAATAAAGGAGCTCAAGTATTAGCTGAATGGTGTGTAACAACTCTCCAGCAATAGAGGCCTTTGACTTGGAACATTGGGTTGAAATTAGAAGAATTGCTCAGAGGCCGTAATTATTCTTGGAGAAAAGAACTCTCTCTCTTGCAGACAGAGTATGAGACTGGTCTCAATTATCACTGATTCCCAAGAAAATTATCAAGAAACTGAAGGACTAAGAGCCTCTTGGGAGTAGCAATCAATAAAATGCAGTGGTTCTTTGATTGCTAGCGAAAAGTGGACTGATTCAATTTTAATACAGTATGTGAAAGCAAATGTTTTAAAAATTTTAAGTGCATTCAAAAGGGTCAACTAGAAAAACTGACACTTCAAGGAAAATAGGATGTAGAGGCATTCTGGAATATGTTTAAATTGAATCTACTAACAATACACGTTCAGGCAACTAATTTACTAGTAAGCTGATTTTTGTGGAATTTTAAAACCCCATAATTGCTCACTTTGCTATCCTCTACTAATAATAAACACACATATGCATTATAAATACATATCTTTAGAAAACTATCCTGACTTACATTGCCTTAACTTCATTTGTGCCTCAATTATTTTAATGTGTATTCGTAACTTTTGATGAATAAGGAAATTATCGAAAACTGTTAAACCAAGAGCAAAGTAATTTAACTTAGCAATTGTTTCATTCATATTGTACATTTCAGCTCCACATATTTTACATTTATTTCCACAGGAACTGTCCTGTAAAGAAAAAGACAGCTTAAAAAAACCAATCAGCTAGCTATCTTATCAATGGAAAAATGTATACAGGCAGTCCCCGACTTACGCGGATCCGACTTATGTCGGATCCACACTTACGAACGGGGCTTTCTCACCCCGGAGCTCACAGGCAGCGGTCCCGCCACCTCGACCTCCGGGGCGAGAAAAGCTGCTCCTGGTGCCCCTGGTCTGCTGCGGACCATCTCCAGCAGACCAGGGACACCGGGAGCAAAGCCGGGGAGGCGGAGGGGCGCTGGGGCGCTGCTGGTTGGCCTCTTAAGGGGGGGTAGTCTTATACGGCGAGTATAAGACGAAAACCTATCTTTTAACTAGAAAATTAGGGGGTCGTCTTATATGCCCAGTAGCCTTATACGCCAGAAAATACGGTATTTTTTAACATCAGACATATGTGACTCAACAAAATTAGTGCCATCAGGGTTGGGACTGCCCTCCGAAAATGGATCCTGTGACACTCACCATACTTACGGTTTGTTGTCTGGGGTTGAGAAGCACTTCCCTTGAACAGTTGGATCCGGTTAGTCTGATAAATGTTATCCACTTTGCCTTGAGTTCCGGTAACTTGTACATTGATGAAATCACAGCCGCAATAGAATCATAGAATGGGATGAAACCTCGAGAGGTCGTCAAGTCCACTTCCCTGCCCTCATGGCAGGACAAAGCACCTCTACATCAGTGTTTCTCAACCAGTGGTACGCGTCCCCTTAGGGGTACTTGAGAGATGTCTGGGGGGGGCACATCAACAACTGACATTTGGAGAAAACTGAATTTTTGTTCTAAGTTTTACAGCGCTTTATTATTTTTGGACCTTTTTACACCCAAAAATGTCATTGCCTGCCCGACTATGATTAAGTTGTTAAAACAAATGTGTTGCAATGGTAGAAAAAAAATTGTGTCTGAAAACTGTAGGGACTGAGGGTACTTTATTTTTTTTAAAGGGGTACTGTAGAAGCCATTTCATATTTAGCTAAAAGCCACTTCATAGAACAGAAGCCAATTAAGATTCTCACTTCTGCACCTACACTAGAAAGTTCACTGACCTTCACCAATGTGAGAAAGGCCAGGAGGATGGGCTGTTGGAATG